GAAATAATATTGAGTGTGATTAAATATTTGTAAAATTAATGATTGATCAATACAAAATCTGTCAACTTTGGTAATAAATTAAACTCTATGTCATTATTTATTATAATGACTAAATTAAAATATTGGCTAAGACAATTGAATGAAGGAAGAAAATAGTTTCTTATGTTATTCATTAGTCAATTATGATTGACATAAAACATAATTGGTTACTTATTGAGATTTGACGGTTAAACCATATTCTAAAATTAACCCGAAGCAAAAATGACGGAATGAAGTATTACATATTTCTTTAGCAAATTCTTGAGAGTAATTGTACATTTTATACTATCTGATCGTTGATGAGTGTTGCTACATGTTAACCTTAATTAATAAATTAGTTTTACTAATTTGTTACCGGTTTAGTATTGAATTTATGGGGTCGTACGGTAACGAATATTCTAACTTTTGTTGAATGTATTAATTATTTTATAATTAAATTAAAGAATTTAATTTAATTAAATAAATAAAATTTTTGGTCTAAATAAAATATTATTATATTATTTGTTAGCACCGAAAATATAATTAATATTTAAGATAAATTGAATTTTTTTATTTTTAAAATAAAAAATTAATATTTATATTTTAGTTATTATATTATTAATATAATAATATAATATGTGTGACTATTATAATAATTGAGATTATTGTAAAATGTAATTTGAAATTAAATTAATTTATAAAATTATTTTATTAAATAATGATAATTAAAAAGGATAAACATATATATATATATGACATATATATGTAAATATTTAGGTGTTAAAAGAAAAGAAAAAGGTGGATGAATCAAAATAAATTAGGATGTCTAGGGGAGAGTCCAAATGGAACTCCTCCACCCATGTCACGTATATATATGTTTATGATATATATATATATATATATATGTGTGTGTGTGTAGAAGTTTTGAAAAAGTGTGGAGAAGAGAACTAGAAAAGGTAGTCTCACACCCAAAAATTTTGCGAGAAAATTTTAATACATCAATTTATCTAGATGTTCCGTTAATTAAAGAATTGAACAATAAAAATTGACTTCATTGTAAATATGTATAGAATATTTATATTTTCAAATAATTTTAATTTAAAAAGTTACTATTAATTATATTTTAAATTTAATATTTAACATACAATATAATTTTTAAGTATAAATAAATTAAATTAAATTATTATTATTTTTTTTATTTTTCCTTACTTGTTATGCCCATATTATAATCTAAAAATCTTATGAGGGATTATGACTTTAGTAAGAGATAGCTTGGTTACCATATTGTTATGAGGGGCTTGTTCAACGGTAAGCGGTTTGGTGTTGTGGATGGGGGGGTACTTTGAAGGTTCCTGCGCTGCTTGAACATGGCTTCTATTTTGTTGAGCCTGAGAGTTTTTCTTGTTCAGAGGTGAGGGTAAGAGTTTGAGGCTTAAATAGTTTGATGGCGGGTTGTCTTTTCTCATTTAATTCACCCACAAAAGAGGAAATAAAATAAGCTTAATCTGAAATAGGACTTACCTTAAGCATGGTAGCCTCAGCTCTTCAAACCTTTCCTGGTAATCTGCTAGCAATTCTTCCTGTATGAGTTTATTGCATGTCTCTACAATATCAACTACCATGGGATTCCCAAACCGTCAACATATCTTTGTCTTCTTTAACGTTGTCCGATCTGTATGATTCTTATTTTATGACTGCCACCCTTACAGCCACATTGAGTTTGTGCTTAAGACACAGGGAAGCACCCTCCACTTCGCTGTAACCTCTGAACCATGTGCTGGGCGTTGCTTCATTAAAAAAAAAAGGATGAAGCCTAACGGGCTAGCCCTAATCCAAGGAAAAAGAAAAAGTAAAAGAAGCCTATCCAAGCCCAGCGAGGGAAAGAAAAGAAGAGGGGAGAGGAAAAGAGGCCCACGGGTGGTCCAGCCCGCACGATAGCGGCGCAAAGGCATATCGCCGTTTCGAACGAAGCAACGACGTCGTTTAAATCCATTGAGGGACGTCGTTAGTTCACTTGGTTCCTGACTGTTCCAGAAGAAGAAGAAGAGAGGGAAGGAGAATATCAGCGCAGATGAGGATAAATCTGTTCTTGTGATATTCTGAGAGGATTTTCAACAAAAAGCCTCATCTCTCTTCGCCTAGAAAAGGCGGATTCCGAAGCTTGACGTGGGAGGGGGACCCGAAGAGACAGGGGGAGAGAGAAGTTGCTCGTAAAAGAGGCCGAAAGTGGAGGGCAGAGGGTGAGAAAAAAGAGGAGGAGTAAACGAAGGCATTGTTTTTTAATTGGCGAAGCGAGGAGCTCGAAGGAAGAGAACCTAAAGAGAGAAAGAGAGCTCGCGAAGAGGGAGAAGCCAGAGGAGGAAAAAGCAGAGCGGTTTTGGTGTTCACCAAGGTATATTCTTAATCCCGTCTTGTTTGGTTAAATGAGAAAGAAATTCCTGAATGTTTCTATCCAGCGTGAAACATATTTTGCTTATCTTTTTACATATTTTGAAATTCTGTTCTGTGGATGAATCGTTGAGTATTTTCAATTGAAGTGGCTATAACATGTTAGCCTAATTTTTGTAGGCTTGTCTCCTCTCGCATGATGCTTTGGTTTTCATTTAACATTTTAAGATGGTAAGAAGTTAGTTTAGGTTGGACAATGAAACTATTGAGAATGTGATAAGATGACGGAAAATATAATCGAGCTTTTAACATATAACAAAGCCATAAGCTACTGTTATTGAAGATTATATTAGGACCCAAGAATATGGTTCAGATTGAGAGGTAAGTGTTTTAGGTTTAAGAGAAAGAGAGAGAAAAATAGAGAGATCCTCCATCGAGAGGAAGAGGAAGAAACCGAGAGAATAGAAACAGAGAGAGATGGAGGAGAAAGAGAGGCTGTTGTGAGAATAGAAGAAAACCGAGAGAGGGAAAGATAGAAAACTTGAGGGAGATTTTGAAATATACTAAAATAACTCATTCCATGGATTCATTACAGCAATGAAAATAGGTGATTATATGAAGAAAGATGCATTGAACTAGTTTAGAGAAGCCGAAGAGTTGCAAATGAAAACCCTAGATTCATTGAATGAAGATGAAGAGGATGTGACTGGTTAACCTCATGCGACCAACGCACGTGTCCCAGCTGATGAATAGATGGTCAGGATCTTTTCCGTCGATTTTTCTATTTTTTTAACCCTAAACCGAATTTTATTATAATGAGAAGAGAAGATGACCCTTGGTTCCTTACAGATTATTGGAATCTTCTCTTAGAAATATTCGTGGGATTCTTGTTGGAAGTTATTGGCGAATATAACAAGGTTAGAATTAAATTAAGTTGGTATTCTCAAAGTTTTCTTATAGGTTTAGATTTCAAAGCTTAAGAAAAAGAGGAGAGAGTTTTTTGTTTTTTTTTTCTTCTAATTTTGGGTGGGTTTATGATAATGTCTTAAGTTGGTTGAATTTACAATTCCCTTTACATTAGTATTTGCTTTGTCAATTTGTATCTTGTCTATTACGACTAATGGATATAAAATATATATAATTAGGCAGCTTCTGCTATCTTAAGTATGTGATATTAACATTTTTAAATATTTTGGAGTCATTATGACGTTCTTAAATTTGCTCAGAGGTACTTTTTCTTTTTAGAAGTTTTTGGTGTGCAGATGTGCGGGTATGGTTGCGCTGTTAGTTGTAAATTCTTTTTGCGAATGCCAGTGATTCATAACTATTCCAGTTTACTTGACTCTTGTAATTAGTCTATTCTGTAATATGATAAAAAAATAAAAAAAAATGAAAATGAGAAAAGGAAAACAAATTAAATAAAGAAAAGAGATGAGTTTCTCTTTTGAGTGTTAACAAGATAATTTTTGTGGTTGTATGGCGGACTTTTTCCATAAGGAGGACATGATGAAACTTCATACAGAAAATTTGGGATGTGAAGAACGATTAAAATTGTGTATCTTTAAGTTTATTTGTTTTTCACTGCTGATGGATTTTTTTAGTTTCTTCTTTTCCCATATAATTTCTAACAGATTATAGATAGTACACTCTTATGCATAAATGCTTGTTAGGGTCATACACCACACAATAGTTTAGGGGCACATACAAAGCACATTTAATCACTTTATCTACACCATGAGACGGGTACCTTACACCTCCTCATCTCATATCATTTCGAAAGTAGAATTTTTGATTTAGACAAGTGGTTTTTTTAGTATCTGATCCTACTTCCGATAAAATTGGTGACAACTTTGCTTTTAAATAAATTCTTTCTATGGAGTTTTTGTTCAGCGTCAACAATATGACATGAGGAAAGGAAGGGAAACCTAAGTCCATTAGCATATTTGTGAAAAAGCTGGAGGAGCCCATAGTACCAGACCGGTTGTTGTAAAAACCGAATGATGACCCAGACATTCTCCTGAATGATGTTGTTTAAACCCAGACATTCTCAATGAATATATTACGTTGTTTGGGGCTGAGACTAAATTCGAAATTAGGGTTTGCAGTATATGGGGGGGGGGGAGTATGAAATCCCTCGATT